GGCGCCTGTGGTCCCAGCTACTTGGGAGGCGGAGGCAAGAGACTCGCTTGAGCCCAGAAGTTGGAGGTTGCTGTGAGCTGTAATGCCATGGCACTCTACCCAGGGGAAAGCTTGAGGCTCTGTCTCAAAAAAAAAAAAATAAAATAAATAAAAAATAAAAACAAACGGAAAACAGGAAGCCTCAGGGCCACTAGGCCCCAGGGTGCCCAAGCAGGTATCTCTGTGCCCACAGTAAGCAGAGGCATCAGTGTGCCAGGGCCGGCTGTGTGTCTGTGAGGGCCAGGAGGCCCCTGACCTGACCCCCAGCCAGGCAGACAGGTGCAAGGGGAGGGGTGCCTCAAGCTTGGCCAGAGGACCTGCCCCAGGGATGCCACTCTGACCCTCCACAGGGAGCCCAGCTCCAGGGGCCACATCCGGCCCAGCCCTTGCACCTGTCCTAGCCAATGGGCTCTGAAACTAGAGCCTCACCACAGCCACACTTCCTGTCCTTCCCTGGACAACCCCAGTGACCATCCTGGGGCACTGGCCACATGGCCAAGGCACCCAGCCAGGCCAGGAAACCAGACCCACAGTGGCAGCGAGACTAAGAGGCTGCCTGGGGAGGTCCAGCAGTCCGCCTGAGAGTGCGACGTCCACAGTGACACTATCCTTCTCCTAAATGCCCACTCAGTGTCTTCAGCCCCCATACCAGATTTCCTCCCCATTCCCCTCCTCTCAACCCCCACCCAGCCCCACTGTCCCCAGGGGCACAGGCCCTCACCCTGACATTTCGAGCCCTAGCCCAAACTCTGGGCCTGGCACCAACCTGCCCCAGCCCACACCCCAGAGCCCCCTCCCTGTACCTCGATCCCCACTTGCCGTCCCATCTTAAAGAACTGGGACAAAGCAGTGCACGAGAGAACACAGCAGGTGGCCTAGGGTGGCAGGTGGGGGACTTCAGCCAGGCACTGGGGTATCTGGAGAGCGAGTCTGTCCCTGCCCCATTCTTAAGACCTGGACTGGCTGGGGTACAGACATGGGGACAGGGGGCAGGGCAGAGCCCTGAGGGTAGGACACCTCAGCCATGGCCACCTGCTATGTGACCTCAGACTAGGCACAGGTCTAGGGGAGGTTCTGAAAAGAGGGAGGCTGAGGCCAGGGATCTGACCAGCGGGCTCCAGAGGACACAAGGAAATACATACCCACCCCCAGGACCCCCAGGCAGGTCACAGCTGGCACTCTGAAACTGCCTGAGACACCAGAGTTGCCACCCCTGGAGGAAAAGTCCCTTCTAGTCGGCTGCTCCCCAGGGACCCCTGGGAGACAAGCACCCCCACCCTCCCCATGCCAACCACAGGGCCCTACCTCCAAGAACCATGATCAGCCCTGCCACCCTCCTCAGCCCAGGGCTACTCCAGAACAAGGGCCATAGGGGAGTACCCAGCTCTGCCCCTGGGGCCAGTATCTCAAAGGACCTACCCAGCCCCACAGAGGAGTCCCAGGAAAAGAGCTGCGTTCACCTGTGGGTCTATCTGCCCTACCACAGGGCAGGGGGGCGTGGCCAAGACAGGCCTTAGAAGGCATCACACAGTCAGTGAAGGAAGAGTGGAGGAAAGGAGGGAGAGGGATAGAGGGGACCTCTTCCCAAACAGAGTCAGAAGGGCTCTGCTCTGCCTGTGCCATTTTACAGCTGGTGAAACTGAGGCTGGGAGAGAAGCAGGATGCTCACAGGATCAAACCTTTCCCTGGCAGGAACCAGCTAAAAGCAAATCTGCCCCAGGCCTGGAGTCTCCAGCCCAGCACAGACACGGAGCTGGGAGGTGGCAAGGCCCACACCTGTGGATCTGAGCACCAATCCATCTCCCTTGGCAGCCCCATGGCACGTCAGGCATTGTGCCCACCTCAGGCACTGTGCCCACAGGCTCTGCAGCCACCCTGGGGTTGCCATGGAGACCAGGCCCTCTCCCCTCCCCCCAGCCTGGCCAGGCCTGTCCCTTGGAGGAGGAGGGGCAAGTAGAACCCACAGTGCCCCCCTTCCCACCCACCAGCAGCTTCCTGCCTGCCCCCAGCAAGTAAGAAATTCACAGTGAAAGACCCTTAGGTCCTACGGGCTCCTGAGGCCCTCTTGGTGTCAGGGGACAAGGGAGCCTAGACTTGGTAAAACCCAGTAGATGAAAGGAAAGCCACCAAGTCACACCTGCTGCCTGGGCCAGGTCAGGGCCAGGGTCAGGTGCCAGCACCCAGGGGTCAGCAGCCAGCAAGTCTGAAATGGCAGCCCCTGTCCAGCCCCTCCCGTCATCCCCTTTCGCACCCAGGCCACTCTGGCACCGGGCACAAGAGGGAGTCCATGGCCCCCTGGAAGTTCCAGGCTACTTCTTGGGGCGTGAGCGTCTCCTCTCCTGCCTGCCTACCCCCTAAGCCAGGCAGCAGACAGAGGTGCCTGCCCCTTAGAGCCAGCCCCACCAGCCAAGTTTGTGAAAACCTCCATTGCCTCTAACGCCCTCAGACTGTAGCAGGGACTCAGGGCCTCAGAAAGGAACAGAGACCACCCAGTTGTGCATAGGATCGTGGCAAAGCTGGCTAGGACCACAGGCCTCTGCACTTGCAGGGCAGGGGCAGGCAGGATGGACCCTGTAGCCCCAACTGTGGGTGCTTCCTGCTCAGCCTCATGTACCAGCCCCACCACCCTGTCCCAGGAAGCATGGGGATTACTGGCCCATTGCATAGGCCAGGATCCCAAGGCTGGCACACAAAGCTGCAGACAGGGATGCAGTCTGAGTATAACTGAGCCATTCTGGGGTAAAATTAGGGCTGGCAGCAGGTCCACCATGGGGGCTCCACTCTTTACTGGGGAGCACCAGCATGCCAGGGAGGGCTGGGCCTGAATACAGGCACCTAACTCCACCTAGCCCCAGGTATCCCAGGAATGTCCACTTCCTAGGCCTCCTCTACATTCCTGCAGCCCCTCCCACACCCGCCAGGAATTCCTTAAACACCAAGGCACCCACCACAGGGGGTTGGGGGGGCCACCAGCCTCTCAGCATTTCCACCCCTGCCTCCCAAGCAGTCCACTCAGCACCCCCACCCAGAACCTCCCTGGGACCTCTGGCAACGACCTTTGGCAGCGCCCATCAGCCCCTCTGTTACCCTGCTACTGCAAGAGGTGTCAAAAGCACAAAGAGAAGGCACCTGCTGCCAGGCCCAGGCTCCAGCCCCAACCTCTGGCAGAGGCGGAACTTCCTTTTGGAGGAGATAGGGTGAGGGTCCAACAGACAGAAGAGGAATCCTACCTGGCCCAGGTCCAGAGTGACGTTGACTTCATTGTACTCCAGACCGCGGGACAGTGGCGGGCTCTGCCACCAGCGCTCTGTGCCATCAACCGCATTGCTCACGGGATGTGCTTTGTTGCTACTGGCAGCTGTGCAGATGTCACAGTACTGGCCCTGTGGAGGACCAGGCATGGTCAGATGGCCAAGAGCCAGGGACCCCATGTGCCCAGAGTCACCCTCCTGCCCTGAGGTCAGCCCTAGTATTGTTCACCTGGCCTCTACCCCCAACCCTGGTTCTGTCCTCCTTTAGCATGAACTGGGCAGCTGCTGCCTCCTTGGTCCAGGGGACATGGCTCACAAAAGATGCTCATGTGTTAGAGAGGAGGCAGAAAGACTAGGGAAGGAGACAGGTGATGCTGTAGATGGGAACATCAAAGTGGGCCTCAATCAGAAGGCAGCACCTGAGACCCACACAGGAAGGGAGAGTATGCTCCTAAGCAGAGGGATGTCTGTGCAAAGGCCCTGGGGCAGGCAGAGTCAAGGATCCAAGAGAGTAAATGGGGCAATGTGCACGGCAGGAGTGAGGAGGCTGAAGCTACAGAGGATCACCCAGAGATAAGAGGTGGCTTTGAGAGCCAGACTCCTCCCCACCTCCACCAGCTGGGCCCCACAATCCCCCACCCCAGGCTTTTGCCCACAGCCTCTCGCATTAGGGTCTCCAGAAAGACAGAACTGAGCTGGTCCCACAGTCTGTGAGGACAGGCCCAAGTAGAGCTGTGGGGCTGCAGGTCAGGCCCCAGTTCCATGCTCTGCTGCTCTCAAGCCCTGGGATGGGACCAAATCACACAGTCGCCGAGCCTCATTGTCTCTATCCACAGAGTGGGGATAATGCTGCACCTGCCTCAGGCCACCAGAAGGATTAACAGATCATATCCAGAGCCAGGCAGCTGCTTCTATCATGGTCCAGCCACCTGCTGGGGGCCTGTCTTCTGGGGTGGACAGAGGAAGATCCCAGCAGGGTCCTGGCCTGCCCTCCCTGGTGGGGGAGGGTCAGGGGTAGGAGCCTGAAGGGGATGGGCCAGGCCTGTAGGGGCAGAGCTGGCCCTGGCTGCATGCCCAGCAGAGCCCGCCCTCCCAAGGAAACCAGACCTGCCATCCTGCAGCACAGAGGCAGACTTGGCATTGACTGCCTCAGAGGCTTGTCTGGGAAATGCGGCCGCCCCACCCCTCCTAGCCTCCCAGGGGACCAGACCTCATCCTAGGAGGAGGAGGTAGGAGCGTGGGAGATGCCCTGCCCCCACCCCTAGGCCCCAGTAGCCACAGACAATCTGCCCCCACCCCCACAGGCAGGGTGGGCTCATGGTCTGCCCTATCCTCTGGGCACCTGTCCTGGGCTTCCAGGACCTGTGCTGACATTTGGATGGCCCCAAACTCAGACTCTGCCCTCCCTGGGGGGCCGTGCCCTGTTGTACCCTGCTCTCAGTTCAGGTGCCCCCTCTTCAGCAAGGCCTATAGCTCCTGACCACCCAAGACAACCAGCAGCCCTGCTTCTGCTGTCCTCCCAAGTAGGGTGGGCCTGGGCTACATGGCCATTCCTGACTAATGGGTATAAGACCTTCCCGGGAACCCCCAAAGCCCCAGGTTGACACTTGCCTTGCTCCCAGCTGCGTCCCCCAGCCCACCACCAGGAATGGCACAGAAAAGGGTTAAATAAAGCATTGAAGGACACCCAGCCAAGTACCATGGCCTCCATGGGCTACACTGCTGAGTTTATACCCAAATTGGACCATGGAACTCCAGCTCTGGAAGCTGTGGGACCTCCAGGAGTTCTCAGACAGCACAGCACACACGGGTGCCTGGCCACAGTGGGGAGGCACCAGAGAAGCAGGTGTGGGTGGACCTCCAGGCCAGGCTGCCTGCTGGTCAAGTCTCCCAGACACGTGAGCTCCTAGGGAGACTCGGTGGAAGGTTAAGGGTCAGCCTCTAGTCTTCAAGGAGCCTAGGGAAGCCCTGGCCTAGCCCCTGCCAGGTGGCAGGGTTGGCCTGGACACTTAACTAGAGCAGGTCCCAGCATCCACTGGGATGCTAAATAGAAGGTCACCATGAACCGGGCTGGGGAAACCAGGCTCTCTCCACCCCGCTCTGCAGAGGGTCCTGCCAGGAACAGAGCTAGGAAATAGCGGAGGGGCTGGTACTGATATCCGCTTCAGTGAGTCACCACTCAAGGCCTGGCTGCCGCGCCCCAACTTCCCCTGCAGGGCCAGCCCGGAATTCCTCTGATGCCCACCTGAGGCTGCCAGGGCCTAGATCCCAAGTGGCCTCTGCCTACTCCAGTTGCCTGGTCCAAGCCCCATCTGGGATGCCCCAGGCCAACTTTTGACCCTCCTATGGAAAGTCACTGAGAGCTGCTAGCCTGCAGCCTTGAGCTGTGTCCTCAGTCCCTGGGCTCCATATCCTAAGAGATCCCCTCTTTGCTGGCACAAAAGTGAGCTCTGTGGATAGAGCCAGAGCTGTGCCTTCATCTCCTGGCCCCGCCCACCTTGCCCCACCCTCTCACTGCTCTGCTCGCTCCAGAGGGGCCTGCAAGGCCCTATTACTCGCCCAATCAGCAGCCAGGGCAGTCAGCAGACCCAGGCTCTCAGAGAAGAGGAAGGAGGTGTCCAAGGTCACTCACCCATTCAGCTCCCCTCTGCCAGTCTATCTTTTCTATAGCACCCCACAGCCTTATAACAGGAAGCTTATAACTAATGGCTCAGGGCTCCAGCCCCTCCCTTGATGGACAAGAGCTACATAAGGCAGGACAGAAGGTCCTCCCATGGGCCAGCTCTGAAGTGTGGAATGCCATGGCTGCCATTTGTTGAGTGGTCACACTGTGACCACTACACAGGCCACTTCTGCAGGCCAAGCTCACAACCCCAGGTGAGGCAAGCTGGCACCCTATGCCCACTTACAAGGAACTTGTGGCTCAGAGTAGCAACCACACAGCTAAGGAGAGGCAGAGAAGAAGGGCTGACTCCAGGCTAGACCTTTAAGGAGTTATATAAACAGACAGGAGAGGCAGATCAAGTCTTAATGGTAACCCTAAACCTAACCCTAACCCTAGTTCAGAGTCTGCTGTCCCCCACCCAGGGGTATAGGCAGGTGGTCTGGGGTTCTGAGGTAGCCAGGAGCCACCACAGAATCCCAGCTGAGTAGTGAGGAGCGGGTCCCAGGGCTCAGCAGGTCTCTGCCGCAGGTCTGGAGGCACCCAGGCTCCCCCTGCTAACGCAGCTGGACCCAGTTCTGGCTGTGGAGCTCTGAGCAGGTGTGTACATCTTTCCAGGGCTGAGTTCCCACAGCTGAAGTGTAGGCTTGGGAACTGCAGTCTTAGAAGTCTGAGCTGGGCTTACAGAAGAAAGTGCAGGAGTCCATGATCCTGAGGAGGCCTGACCCTTTCCGATTTCTCCCCCCTAGGGCTGGGGTGGGGCCTAACTCAGGCTCCACTGCTCACCCCCCACTTCCTGCACGCTGGGCTCCTCTCCCACCACAGCTAATCCGACCTCAGGCTACCCTCCCCTTCTCCAACCTCTCCTTCCGGGAAGGTGGAGACAGGTCCCTGGAGGAAGCAGCTCGAGTTACACAGGCCCTTAGGGTACCTGGATTCCACCTAAGGTGGGGCAGGGGTCAGGAAGTGGAAGGGTGGCCTCTTAGGGCACCCCTGGAGCACACTTCACCCCCATTCCCAATTACCCCATCTCCAACTTAGGTCGAGAGGATCTCAAAAGCCCTGCTTTCCAATCAAGTGTCCATTTGGGGGCTACCTGGCTGAACTCCCCACCAACACGCTTCTGGCTTGGGAGGGGCATGCCCCCCAGAGGGTCTTCAGGGATTGAAACCACATCTCCCCAGGGAGACTGGAGGCTGGGGACCCTCCCACCTGCTGGGCTGATTCACCCACCTACAAACCCTCCCACCTGCTGGGCAGCCAGGCGTTCCAGTGAACACTCTGCACCTTGCCCTCCCCTACCTCAGGGGTCCGCTGAGTGCTCAGACCCCCTTGGCTGGGGGCAGTGAGAACCTCAGGTGGGGGCCCCGCCGGGCCCCTTCTGCCACCATCCAGGTCCCTATCCAGAGGCCAACAGGTTCCAGCCTGTCCCGAAGAAGGTGGCGCACCCCGCCCCCTCCACAGGCAGCCTGCAGCGGAGGCCAAGTCCCGCCCTCGCCGGGATCCCGGAGTTGGGGCCGCCGAGGATTGGGCACAAGCCCTGCTCTCGCCCGAGTCACGGCAGCAGAACCGGACTGTGCCCGTCTGCTCCCAAGTCCATGTCGGGAACATCACATTCGGCCTTCCCAGAGGGACAAGCAGTTCCCCAGACGAACTTGAGCGGCCAGGATAGGTGTCCCTCTTGGTCGCCCAAAATGTAAAACCGGAGATTCGGGATGGGAAAGCGGGTACCTGGACTTGCCCCGCCCCAAGGCGCTCCCCCAGGAGTCGGGTTGGAGTTCCAGTCCGAATGCTTCGGGACGAAGTTTCCACACCCCTGCCCGCGCTCACCTGGATGGTCTGGTTGGGGTCCCCGCCTGCCACGGGGCCCCCCACCAGTTTGCAGTAGAGGTCCTCGGTAGGGCGCGGGGGGCCACGCGCCGGAGCCTCCTCGCCGCAGGTCGCGGACGCGGAGATGCGGGCGCCCTCCGCCAGGTTGAAGTAGGGCGGGTGCAGGCTGAAGCCCCCGTCCGCCGCCGCCTGCGCCCGCGCCGCGCCCAGCAGCGCTAGCCCGGCCAGCAGCAGCGGCGCGGGGCCCCGGGGGCCGCCGGTGAGCAGTGCGCTCCTCGCGCAGTGCCGCGCGCCGCCCTTCGCCATCTTCCCCGCTCGGGGCCGCGTCCCGCGCTCCAGGAACAGCCGCGGCGGGATCCCGGCCGGTCTGAAGCTAGGCGGCAGCCGGGCTCGCTCCGCCTGCGGACGTCAGGCCCCGCCCCGGCCCGCCTGGGCGCCGGAGCCCCGCGCCCCGGGGAGGGGGTCGGGGGAGGGAGAAGACAGGGGGAGGGGCGGTCGTGTGGCCTTAACCCTTCGGACCCCGGCCGGACTAGCCTCCAGGAAGGGGCACCTGCTGGCTCCGGGCCAGGCTTAGGACTAGGATGCCCACGCGCCCCCACCGCGGGTCGTTGCTCTGGGTCCCGCCCGGAATCACGGCACTCCCTTCGGCCCAGCCCGCAACCGGCTGCCGGATTCTTTTTTTACCTAACTCTGACACCTCTTGCCCCATTCCCCACCCTGCTGGCGGACGGGAAGGTGTGTTCTGCTAGCTGCGCACCGCCTTGGAGGAATCCCAATCTGCGGAGGGACGAAGATCCCAGGTGGGGACCCCCTGGTTCCCGGGGGACCAAATCAGAATCAACCCAGCCTGTCTCCAGGTTCACTTAAAAATACTCTCAAATTGGGAAATGAGAAGGAGTTAGGAGCCCCTTGGATGATGGAGGGGGCCTCATGGCCCTGTGGCTCCTAAGGAAGTTACACCTGTTAAACGCCCGAGGTGTGCCTGGGAGCACCTGTGCTGGGGGTCACCATGACCTCCACCAACTCCACCTGGCCCTCAACCCACACACAGCTCCTCTCCAGCCAGGGGCCAGCAGCTCTGGACACTAGAAGCAAAGCTCAGAGCTGTTTCTGCCTTTGGGTGGCTGTGGCCGCTGCGTCTGGTGACCTCCTCCTCCCCTTGGGGTCCTGGGCCAAATCCGCCTCCAGGGAAGCCCTGAGGGGGTTGGGGTGGGGCCACAGCTGCTGGGCCAGCAGCTCTCCTATCTTTGAGCCAGGCCAGCTGGGCCATGGTCCCTTGTGGGCCGTGGGGCTCACATCTTGCTGGACTCTCCTGATAATCCTGGGGGTCAGGATGAGTTTGTGGGACACTGACCAGCTGGTCCTGGCCAGGGTTCTTAAGCTGGCAGCTGTTCCAGGAAGGTTGCACCACCATCCACATTTTCTTGGCCTCCTTAGAGCTCAAATCCCAAGAGGCTGGGTGGTCCTTTCTCTTTGGAGTTGGGAAATGGAGACTGGGACCCTCCAGACCCTGCGTCTCTTCTTCCCTCTTTCCACTTTCCTTCCTTGCAATTCTTCTGTAATTTCACCTAGGGGACAGAAAGAGCCGGTGGCTCCCCTTTGCTGGCGAAACTCCCAGTGGGGGAGGGGCCAAGGAATCCGAAGTCCTAGCACAGTTCGCTGCACTGGCTGATTTATGATCCCCTGGGAGGGACAGGACAGAGGGCTGCCTCTGGGCAGTAGCAGGTTCGCAGAAGGGGGATTGGTACCAGGCAGTGTCGTCTAGCTCCGTTCCCCCTTGACAACTGAGGGAGGGAGCAGAGGCTGAGAACACTCTCCCCAAGTTCTGGCTGTACTCATGAGAACCTGCCTGCTTCCCGATATCCCCAAGGGTCTGGCAGGCAGAAGGTGGGCCAGAGCCCTCTGAGCCCCCTAGCGGACAGGCCTGGCCAGCCAGGGAGGGGGAGCAGTGGCCAGAGAATGTGCTGAGTCAGCAGAATGGCCAGCTCCAGCATGTGGAGGGTTAATCTGGGGCTAGCTGCTTCCCGGCAGACAGCTGCCCCAGGAACAACTGGCAGGGAGTGAAGGGGACAAAGGAGAATGTGGCAAGGGGCTGGATGAGGTGTTTCTCCTCTATGCTGGAGGGAGGGGCAGTGGGTCAGGAGCTGGCTCAGGGGTCGCATGGGATGGGGGGGTAGGCACGGGAAGGGGCAGCTCAGCTTTGTCCGCCCCCACTTGCTGTCCTTGTCAGGTTCCAGTGAGTCACTATCAATGGGCCAGCCAGGTTCTCCTTGTCTCCCTCTGAGTTCTGGACAACACAGCCATGTTTCCTGCTTACGGACAGGTAAACTGAGGCCCAAGGGCCAGAGCTCAGTGAAGACCACACAAGTCTGCAAAGTGAGAGCAAGTCAGTTGTTCGTTTCCTACCCCCATGTGTACTGGGTGCCTTTTGGCATCAGTCTCAGTGTCCTCATGCACAGGATGTGAGTGCCCAATGTGGGACTGGGGATGCTGTTCAGGGGGTCAGTTTGCTGGGGTGGGGGGGAGGCTATGGAAGCAGCCCTTCCTGCCAGGCTCTGGCTGCTCAACCCCAGGAAAACCCAAGATCTGGAGCCCCTCTCACCCCCTCACCCCCAGGGTAATAGGACCCTCAGGGTAAGGAGGGGGCAGAGGTCAGTGGTAGAGGGAAAGGGGTCCTGTACATCCTCCCAGGCCCTTACAGCATCTCCTCTCACCTGAACCCCCTACTTCAACGGCATTCCCAGAAGCGCCCCCCACCCTGCTTGGCCTCACCAGGGGCAGCTGTGAGAAACCCTGAGAGACAGGCCATAGGCACATCTGACTCAGCTCTGACCGTAAACTTAGAACTTCAGGGCCTCTTGGGGACGCAGCTGCACTGAGGACACGGGACACCCTCAGTGCACACTCAGCTGCGTCACTGGCAGTCATGGTCTGAAACAGATGGCCACATAAATCCTTCTATCCCAGAACCTTGCTCTCCTGCACCCTCTGCAAGGCTCCAAGTAGGTGCTGTACCCTCTGGAGAAGCCACAAGGTCTACTGGCTGCTCTGGATCAGGAGTGTTTGTCTCAGCAGGATGGGTTTGGGATATTGGAGGCCACATTCCCTTCTCAGGGATGTTCTGATGCCCTTCCCAGGAGCTGGGTGGCAAGAACCTCTGTCCCTGGCTCAGCGCCTGTGGCTCAAGTGGCTAAGATGCCAGCCACATACACCTAAGGTGGCGGGTTCGAGCCTGGGCCCGCCAGACAACAATGACGGCTGCAACCAAAAAATAAAATAGCCTGGCATTGTGGCAGGCACCAGTGTTCCCAGCTACTTGGGAGGCTGAGGCAGGAGAATTGCTTGAGCCCAGGAGTTGGAGGTTGCTGTGAGCTGTGATGCCACG